AGATATAATTGGTGTACATATTTATCATCTCAATCAAGACCATCTTAAATGGACACATCTGTAAAATCACAGCTGGGTCTATAAACTTTAACCTCCACCATTGCGCGCCTCAGAAACCACATCCTGCTTGCCAACTAGCTCTGCATTGACGAACTTACAACCTGAGGACATTAGCACCTGACCCTTAAAGCAATTAGCTGCTAAATGGACCAGTTTAGAGTTCAACTAAGCAGAACCTGTCTGTTTGTTCCCAGCAGCTGGATACTTAATATTATAGGCAGGTGGGAACAGCAAGGCCACTACAAACAGTGATGCTTCATGCTCTGCAGATTGTCTTGTTGGTGTTGACGTCATTGCTCTGGTTCATTTGTCTTCTTAACATGACAATGCTCTCTAGTCTCCAGCCACCAGTTAGTATTTTGTCTTAGTTCAGATATGGTATAACAATAACAACTTGGAATTAACTTGTATTTTCAGTGTATTTATTATTTCTTGTGTGGGTCTTACAATTTATACTTTCATATAAATTGTTATAAGCTTTCTTAGTTCATACTTTGTATTATCATCATCATCACATCAGAATTTTCTAATTATATCTTTACGTATTAATTATATATGTACCTACATGAAATGTATACAACTTTCAGTGTAACCAATTTAATTTGTAGTATAGTATAGTATAGTATAGAATAGTATAGTATAGTATATTGTAGTGGTATTTCTGTCATTCTCTGTTATTCTAGAAAACACATACACCCCAATTGTAAACCTGTACAGTTAAGCCTTCTAGTAAAAATACAAAAAACCTGTGACACACTTCTAGTGTATTCTAATTGATACACCCCAAGTGATTAAAACTCTACAACCAGTGTTGTTTATGAAGAGTTTATTAAGAGATCTCAACAACATGGCCTCATAGGTCATAATATTCACAAAACACCAGAAAAACATTCTAAATGGTATCTAATACATTAGATCCATCTGTTTGACAGTAAGGGATAAACTGTAGTTGCTTCAGCATTTCAGTCTCTCTAATTTTGGCTTTACTCTGCACTGCCTGTTTTCTCCTAAAAGTCTTCACTCTCATACCCAGTGTATAAACCCCAAAGGATTGCTTAAGTGGAATAAATTCTAGTTATACGGACACGCACGATTTCATTCCTTATCTCAAACACTTTCATCTGCCACATGGGGAATAGATTAAGGAATATCAGTAGTGCTCTTGTAGGTGGAAAACATCCACACTGCCCCAAAGCTAGGCCGTAGCTTGGTAAAGTTGATGCATACTGTGTTGTACTTAAATGCTTTGGATTGTGTGTTTTATTAGAATTGTTAGCTTTCAAATATTGTATATATATTGTGAAGCACATGTACAGCAGTGATACAGACTTCTTTGGAGTGAATATCATGCATCATTTCAGATGTTTACCAACAAAAGATAAAATCCAGAATCCTTGTAATTTAGGGCACAGCATAGCTGTGAAGTAAATCTGCTTCTGCTTGGTCACATTTCTCACAAATTAGCTTCTCATGTATGCTTTAAAAGTCTCCCACAACGAAGTCGGTGAAAAAAAAAAAAAAACTAAAAAAACAATTTCATCTGAGCCTCTAAATTTACTTGTTTACTTGTAAGCAATTGGGGCTCAGGATCTATACGTTTTTGTTGCTTCGGCCTCAGGGAAACTGAGACAGACTGATACTCTCTACTTAAAAAATTCTAAATTAAAATCACCCCCAATCATAAGATTTATGGAAGAGATATCCGAGAACACACACTGGTCACCACTGCCCCAAATTCTCAGCATGATACGATATTGGTCCTTATGTTAAGCATAGAAATATAAGAATCTTAACCTAACCTGAATGGAAGGGCATGCACTTTCAAAAGTTAAGTCTATTACCATCTATCACAGGCAAACTTTAACCAATCAGATTAATGAACCATATGACTTGGATAGATATAACTGATGATAAAACCATCTACGCTAGGATCTTTAGCAAAAACGCAATAACAGTTTTCAAGCGTCACACACATGTCGTCACACACAACTAGCTTAAGCCATAGCATCAAACAAACGAATTAAATATTTAAAAGCTCAAACAAACTATAGGAACACCCTAATCCAGAGATTCACAGAGAAACTGTTAGAAAATCAAACAAACTATATACATAATTACCAACTATAGGAACACCCTACTCCAGAGATCCAAAGAGAAACAGTGAGAGAGAAAGTCAAACAAACTATAGGAACACCCTACTAGAGAAACAGTGTGAGATAAGGTCAAATGAACTATACCGTATACATATTTACAAACTATAGGAACAGTGTGAGAAAGAAGGTCAAATATGCCCCACAGGCCACACCTACGGACTGCCTGTGCACAGTGCAAGAGGAGAGGGAAAAACCCTGCAATTACTCCAGAAGACTGCAATTACTCTGAGCAGCTTGCACAGGAATTAATTACAATAAAATATATTTTGATATATTTTTTGGCTTTTCCGTCTCAGAATTATGACATATGGTAACATGTTGTTAATTCAGAAAAACATAGCAAATGAGTGAATGCAATACATTCTGTAACAGATTACAAGAAAAGTTGAGATTATGAAATCAGAAATATATATGGTTTTTGGCTAGGGTTATTTATATTTAGTAGTTATTAAAAACATTTTAAATTAATTGCAGTGCAAGGATGCAGGCGGGAGATGAGGTAATATTTTTCTCTGAATATTACCCCCTTCCTCCGGCTCCGTAATGTTTTGTAACTTACAGTGGCTCCAATACGCTGACGCAGTCAAAGTGCTGGTAATGGATGTGGGTGGAGGCATTAGAACGATGTTTGACTGATTATGATAGCGTACTTTATCACTGTCACTTTTGTTTACATTTTTGCTGTTTGTATACTCTCTCATGTTGTCCCCATTAGATAAGACCCAGTCAGTGTTGATCCAGTGCCCACTGTCATCCCAGGCTCTTATCAGGAAGAACTTCTGAGTCTGCTGGTGCTTGTGAGGCTGATCAAACTGTGAGTCTAAAGCTTCTTCGACTGTCCTGTAGATGGACTAGCTAATAAATGACTTCTTGTAACTTCTTGTTTTTGTAATGCAAATGTGTTTTAGACGGTGGTTAATTGCTTTCCACACTTCTTTCACCACAAATGATGAACAGGAAGATGTTTACGATAATAGTCTGTTTGCTTCCTTTCAATATTTATTGGTGTGTGTGTGTGTGTTGAAGCAAAATTTCAGCCAAAGGAAACACAACTATTATTCAGTCTTTATTGTTAGACCTTTGTTGGTAGAAATTAGATAGTAAACAATATTTTATTCATACGCCTACTTTTCAGCTTCTCTAGATAGTGCTCCCGGAAAGTCCTTTTACTCAGCTGCTCTTCATCAATAAATCCTTATACCATGCAACTCCCCAAATTATCACCTTTGAATTTTGGCTTGTGTATGGTTGAAAGGACCAGTGTGTAAGATTTAGTGGCATCTAGTGGTGAAGACGCAGATTGCAACCAACTGAATAGCACTCGACTTCCACATCTGTTGGAGAAACGGTGGCTGCGAAACTCACAAAAGGCCCTATTTAAAGCCAGTATTTTTATTATTTATTTATTTATTATCTTATTTAGTTTATAACCTAAGATGTACACATCTATGAATAATATATTCTATTTCTGCCAATAAATCCTCCTAAATGTTACACACTGGACATTTAAAGGAGTGATGTATAATTCCTGGCCACATCAAAAAAACAAGGGGTAGCATTTCACATCCTCCCACCCTTGATGCCATGACACTGTTCAAGATTTTTTACAGTTATAGAGTTACAAGTGGTTACATTTCTGTTTATTTGCTGCCGGCTGAACCCACTTATTACAGCAGTATGTATAAACACATGTGATTTAATAGCAATAAATGGGTCAAAAGGATGCCAAAATACATCATACATCATCATGATGCAGTTTTATAAAAAGTTGGAATTCATACTTTGTCAAGTCTGTCCGTACAAACAAGCAACTTTTAAAATGTTTTTTTTTCTGAACAGAGTTCTGATCGTAGGGCTATGCTAACTTAGTTCATAGTAAAGTACAACCGATAGCTGGTAAAGTAACAGAAACATATTCAACTTTCTTCCTCACTTACATTTCTCTAAGCTTTGTCCCTTTCTGTCTCTTGTCAGCTAGGAGTGGCTCCCTCCCACCACTTCTCCTGGTTTTTAACATTCATGGACTATGATCATTTATTAATGATAATATGACTATATCTTACACAATGTTCATTTAAACAAACAATATCCATGTTAAATAGATGTAGAGTGGCTGGCATTCATTAACTTTGGACAAAAGCCAGAGTATTTTTTTGTCCCCTGCTTCCCCTCCTGACAAACAGGAGAATGGTATTCTCATCTAACTCTCACCAAGAAGGCCATATTCACTATTCTTCTTTGTTTGTTTACTGATGCACATTTTGCAAATAAGTTGCAGCTAGCAGACTATTTTCTTCAGATCCAATACACATTTTCAGTTTTCAATATTCTTCAGCCAAGAAAGTAGTAGATGTTTAGCTTTTAACAATGCAGTTGCAGTCTCTCTCTTTCTTTTTTTTTTTTTTTTACCTTCAATTCTGTGGTCTTCTAATAGATAATCTTTGTAACTGATTTACAGACCTGTGCTGTGAGTTGAAAGTATTTGGCAGTCATGGCTCACATCTGCACTGCATATGTTGAACAAGGTATTCGATTATATAAACTCTGAAAAAGTCAGATTCTAGTCATATGAAACCTGAATCCAAAACTTAAAAATATCAGCGAATGGCATGTCCAGCTTTTTCCACTTATCACAGAACAGCTTTGAATCTAATGCCATTGTCCTTAAATTAGTCAACAAAAAGTCTTGCAACATTTATTTGTGTCAAAAACATTATTTTCATACAGCTTTTTTCACTGATTTGATGTAAAGAAATTATATCTATGAGTCTTTAGTCAATTTTCCATGAGAAAAGCATCAGATATACTGTAAGTCCTACCAACTTTATTTTATTGACGTTTTTAGCACTGTTCATACCCATGTGTTTCAGAAAATATCATATGTTTTATTGTACTGAATCTTTTACTGACCCCTTTCTTAACAGGTTTTCTGTAGCCCCCACTTTCACCTCCCCCTGCATCTTCACATTCTTTTTTTCCCCGCTGTGCACCACTCACTAAATTCTGTTTAATGCTTTACGACTTTTCTCTGCTGCTCATTCCTCTGCCTAAAATACTACGTGTGCTGTCCCAGAGCCCTTCCCCTTAGTCTTCCGGGGAGGGACCAACTGTGCAAAAAGGAAGAGCGACTGTAGGGCGAGAGATGAGTATCTAAGCTGCTGCAGCAGGAGCTGGGGGAAGGGAGAGGAGATAATCGGGGGTTACTGTTAACAGTCTGCTGTAGGAATTTGTGTTGGACTTTTCTTCCATGAGACTTTGCATATGTGACATGCTTTCTGTGGTAATTTTTTGTGTTTTCATTACTAATGTTGCAAGATGATTTGGATGAAGTAGCGCACACTTCCCAACTGAGAGTATTGGTCCTTGAAAGAACTTGTTGTGGTAAGACAAACTTTTTTAAATTTGTCAATATTAAATTATACCTGGAATGTATCATTTAGCATAAATAGGAGGAACCCAAACAAATATGTAATGAGCAATGATTTTACATAATAAGGACTTGGGTTATGAAATTTGTATGTTGTTATGCAGAAAAATGTTTGTTATTCTAGGCTTTTTTTGCAACTTTAATTAGTTTAGTTAAGTTTTGTTTCTACTGATGTGAAATGTCCCCTGTAATTTAAACATAGTTTCAACAAATGGTTAACTTCTCATCTTCATCATTGCTGATTAAATATGGACAAACACAGACTTGTGATTATTATAATGCAATGATAGAATATTGTTTGTACACTAAAATTTCAAAGAGTAATCAATTCAAACTCTTCCAAACTCTAGTTTTGGGAAAATGAGCTGAACAACAAAGGGTTTACCTGAACATATAATGGGTAACTCACTTGGGCACTATCCCTGGTATTGTAGTAATGTGGTTCCTGTGTTGTTCTCTGGGTAATACATGGCACTAACATTGGCCAGGCTTCATGAATCAGCACCCACTGATGGTGCACATGAAAATACAGAGGCTGAGTCAGCAAACACCCTCGCAGTCCATGCTGTGTCCACAGGAATGAAAAACACTATCACCTCAAATCTACCCGCTAATCTTTTCAACTCTAGGCGTCTATTATTACTTATTACTATTCTGGGCTTTTATTTGAAATAATGAATTATAAAAAGTCCCAGTTTAACCCGCAGGCTGTGAAAGTTTCGGTTTTATTTGTTTACTTCACTGTGAGCACAATGCCCAAACCACTTCACTGGCTGAGGAAATGCAAAAGAATTTGGCTTGGTGACAGGGAGCCAGATTACTTTGAGTTGTTCTTTTTTTTATTAGCCTCTCCCCCATATGTATTGCTCACTTTCACGTGCATTTGCGTTTTTGCCGTGATAAATGAACCATAATTACAGTGACTAATGTTTTGCAGCACAAACAAATATGATCTTGCGCATTCTGCATTCTCCATAACAAGTTTTGATTATGATGTGTTTCTGTGGTGTCCCATTAGTTTGAATTGGAAACCATTGGACTGCCTCAGTGAAGTAATTTTGAATATGACTTATTGATTTTGGACACTAACAGGCACTTTTGGCTAATGGTACACTAAGAAGGTCTTCAGGGTCACGTAAGAGCTGGCGCCAAGCACCGCCTGTCTCATCCTAGTATTCTCTTCTCGAATCACTTGATAATAGTGTAATTTGCTTTTAGTGGCAGATCCAAAGGTTTCTCTTAATTGGTGTATCTTTACATTTTCTGCCTTTTGGAAAAATGTGACAATTACCAAAAAAAAACCTGCTGTCGAGGCTATTGGGTATTGTGACTCATGGAATAACAAACTTATACCATTATACTGTGCTATCAAGTCAAAGATAAGATTTCTTTCTCCTGAAGTATTTATAAACAAGCACAAATTGGCAATTGCTGTAACCGCATGCATCACTGTGTTCATGCTGCGGTCACATTATGTCCCAGCATGGCATATGTAGAGCTTTTTTGTTTTCATTTTTTACCTTGTAAACTACCAGTGTGTGCTACATCAGGCATGTGAAAATGTGCAATCCAGCAATACACAATTGCATCTTCAAACATAATTTTGTATTGTGCAAAAAGCTGCCTACAAAAAAAAGTTTGTTCTTCACTTTTAGTTTAGTTCAGTTTAAAACAAAGATTATAGGAAATATATATGGGAGCCGTCATAAGTGTAGGTCCAAAATGACAATATAGCAAATAAAATGACAGATTGTGGTGGTGAAGTCAACTAAAGAAATATAGTTTGTGCTGCATGTGCATACTTCTTAATTGCAAACTTGCTTTCAGTTTTATTCTGACCCATATTTTTGTCACTATCAGCACATTTCCTTTCTGTGTTCTCTTTCTCTTCTTTATCGACCCAATCTGTTTGCTTCTTTTAAGTTTTATTGTATCTTGAAAAACATAAAGACACACTGACTTTACACCTTGTGTGCACTGATAAAATCTGTGTACGAATGTTTACAGGAAGTTAAACCCATAGTTTGATATGATCAGCATGGTAACTACTGTATGTTGCTCCACCTACTTAATAGTGATAAAGTATCTTACAAGTATCAGGTAACATCAGATTATATTGTATGGGTTTATTTGAAGGTTCATTTTTGAGAGATAACATCATGGGATTTCCTGTTTATTGCATTTTATTTCAGGATGATACAAATATCCCTAAGATATGCCATTAAATACATATTTTGTTTAAGGAAAATTATGATTATTTGTTTATCATATTGAATTTCACTTTAAGTATTTCCACTCTGCTTGAGTATCATACAATCTGCCTAAATGACAGGCAGTATATTGGGGACAGACCACTAGGGACAACATCATAGCCTGATTGTGACAATATTTGTTTATTTCCTGTTTGTGTCTCTGTCAGTACTGTTCACATAACTGCATTTCCTGCCAGGATAGGCCATCTTCCGGTCTCTGTGTCACTCTCTCCATCTCTGTCCCATGCTGTCACTGTCTGTTTGTGTGGATGTTATGTATGTGCTGTTTCTGAGCTGTTACATTGACTTTATAGGGTTTATATGGCCATTTCAAAAATGCACTCACTGGGTGCCCGTTTAGCTCAGTTGGTAGAGCTGGCGTCCCATGTACTGAGGCTGAGTCCCTGCTTCAGCGGCCCAGGGTTCAAATCTGACCTGCGCCCCTTTGCTGCGTGTCATCCCCTCTCTCTGTCCCCCTTTCCTGTCTACCTTCAGCTGTCACTATCAAGAAAAAAAAAAGGCAATAAAAGCCCCCAAAAATACCTTTAAAAAAAAGTGAACTCACAATTACTCCCAGATGCTTTGGATTAAAACATACGTTTTTACAGGGTAATTCTCTTTCGTGAGAATCTAGGTCCTATTTTGGTCATTTTAGTAATGATTTTCATTGATAATATGGTACATACCAAGTAAATTCAAACAAAACATCGCTGCATCACTAAAGAGATATCAGATAGGGTAAACAAACAAGAGCAGTCACATAATCAGACAGAGAAAGTGAAAACAAAGGAAAATGGTGAAATAATTAGAGAAACTGCCCTTTGTAACCATCCATCACAGTTCACAGCCCAATTTCATCCTTTAACATTGATTTGCTGTAGTTGTGCTAACATTTTGGGTGTAATCACTTTGCAAATGAAGTGTACACAAGGGTAAACAGGAATGTACTGCTACACTTTCCGGTGAAAGTTGCTACATTTGAAGTGCAACAAAGCCAGCCCAACTCTTGCAGTAGCTGGCCAGTTTTTTGTGTTGCTCTTTCCCTTTGCTCATTTCATTTGTATTGTGTTTCAGTTTATTTTTAATATTCTGAAAAGCTAAATTTCCCATTATGTCTTGAAATTTAACTGTTCTCTTTTTACTTTTGAGGATGAAGAATTAATTGAAATCCCGTATACTGGCACTGTATCTCCGAGTCATCTGAAATCAACGACCCATCACCAGCTTACCACCATGAATGCCTCAGCCAACAACACCCCACTCTGCTACTCCCTCAGGAGTCCTCCATTCAAGTACCTCCCCAACATTGCCTCGGCATACTACTCATCCATCTTTGGCACTTTGGGTCTCATCTCCAATCTCATCGCCTTCATAGTTCTCCTCAAGTCCTTCCAGCGAACACAAAGCCGCTCACGCTCCTTTTTCCTGATCTTCCTGGGTGGCCTGGTAGTCACTGACTTCATGGGTCTTCTGGTCACTGGCTCCATCGTGATCTCCTTCCATGTTACGCACTTTAATTGGCGCAAGTTAGATCCGAACTGCCACTTCTGCAACTTCATGGGCATGTCCATGGTCTTCTATGGACTGTGCCCACTGCTGCTTGGTGCTGCCATGGCCGTGGAGCGATTCATTGGTATCAACCGTCCATTTGCACGCTCCACCAGCATGCCCAAGAAAAGGACAGTCTCCATGGTGCTGATGGTGTGGCTGATCGCCGGCTCCATATCAATGCTGCCCATAACAGGCATTGGGAGCTACCACATGCAGATACCCGGCTCCTGGTGTTTTTTAAACATCAGCTCTGATGGAAATGACATGGCCTTCTCCTTGCTCTTCTCTCTGGTTGGGCTGATATGCATTGCTGTGTCATTTTTGCTGAACACAGTGAGCGTTGTGACCCTGATCAAGGTGTGCTGTGGACAGAACAGGCACCAGCGCCGCAGAGATCATGAAGTGGAGATGATGGTTCAGCTCATCCTCATTATGGTCATTGCTTCTATCTGCTGGTGCCCCCTCCTGGTGAGTTTGCCCATTTGGAATAAATAATATGTATATAGGTCTGGTTTTATGGAAAAATGGTAAAGAGACAATGAAAAGGCGACTTCTGCACTGTGAGAGTAACATAACAGTGTCGAAATCTGAGGTCCTGGTTCAGTGAGTTGCATTTGTTAGGATCACACTGAGATAACCTTTGCAGTATGTAGCAACACGACTCATTCACTTCATAAAAGTTTGAACTTCTCCTTAAAAGGCTGCAGGGGAAGCACTTACACTTTTGTTAATTCAAGAAACAATAGTTTTTCTTTAACCCAGTCAATTTACCATTGTAACCAACATCTACATTTAATTTGGGTAAATATATGTCTAGACTTAGTGTATCTATATTAAAAAATTTAAGTTGGCTCCCTGGTAGCTCACCTGGTCCCACACGTGTCCCACATATCACACTGGGTTTGAATCCAGCCTTCTGCACCTTCCATGTAGGCTACAGTAATACTCTAATTTCTACAAAAAAACAAATGTGTGTGGACTATATTTTTCTGAGGATCCCTTAACCAACCAACACAAAGATATAGAATAAATAAAGTACTGAGCTTACTGTTAAGCTTCTATGGTCCAGTACTCTACAGGAAGGACTCTAGCCTGTAGAAAGTATTAATGAAAGTCACCTACGATGGTTGTTGACTGGAAGTTAAACATTTTGGAAGTTAAAAATACATCAAATATATCACATATAATATATAATATATGATACTGAAAATCACTCAGTATGGCTGTCCAGTAAATTATGGGTTTCTCAGGTATCACCTAACCCTTGTCTATCCAGCTCTTGTTATCTGTGTTGCCCTTCAACTGTTTGAACCATAATAAGACATCCCAAGGTCCTAAGCTCCTTTTCTCTGCTTTCCCTCTATATGCTTCATTTCTCCCTTGCAATGCAGCTTCCTCAGTAGCAGATATAAAAGCTTTATGGTCTTACCCTGGATCAGAGAGCACCTTAACGCCTTAGCAGAGATAATACATCTCAGCCAAATAAGCATGAAATCTTTGCCTTTAAAGGAATTTTCCAGGTTACAACTTGGAATTTACTTTTGTAGGTCCAACAATTGGTTCTGTCAGTTATAACATTGCACTCACCAATGTAAAACATCAAAACAAACAGTCATACATGTTGAAAACGAACCCCTAGGTTAGCCAATTTATTCGTAAAGAAAATTACGCAAAAGATAATTGTAGAAGCAACATGAAGAATTTATTCCAATCTTCTTAATAATCACCCTCTTTTTTGTCCATCCTTCCGAAGAACTGATTGAGGGGGACGGAAAGCTTTGATAACTTTATGAAAGTCTTTGTTTTTGTTAATATAAACAACACTGTCCTTTCTGATACTACCACTAGGAGTTGCCAATGTCAAAACTTAAATTCTAAATGTAGGGAAATTTAACACATCAGAGTAAGAAATAGAAGGGAAAGCTACCTGACAACATATTTTTCTGTAGTTCTGTCTAACCTCAGTTGTGTGACACCCTGCACAGATATATATTCTGATCAGCGTGGTGACTTCGGGTCGTGTAAACCAGGAAATTGTTTTGTTCTACATACGAATGGCCACCTGCAATCAGATATTTGACCCCTGGATATACATCATGTTTCAAGTGTCCCGAATAAGGCGAGTAAAACGTAAAACATAAAAACCTTTAAAGGTTATAAAAATAACCCAGCTTCCCATAGCAACTGCTCACTCCCATCATAACCTCTGCATGTCCTAAACTGAATGAAACCCTTGGATGGACTCATTTGAACATCACTTACAAACCAAGCTCAAAGTATGATTGGGAGCATGTTTCATAGTGCAGCCACTGTCCCATCTTGGTTTTGCTGCTGCTATGTATGTATGTCTAGTCCACTTTATCAGTTTCAGCCTATTATGATGTTTGTTTATAGCCCTTGTGTCTTGCTTTCATTTCCTGAAATTAACACAGATGGTTTGCAAAAGCTTAACCCGGATAGCTTAATGCACATTGTAGTTTTATTAGTTACTCAAATACTTCTTCGAAGCAGAGCTGCAGAAATCCTTACAGATAATTGATACACACTGAGAAAGTTGTTCATGCTCATTAATTATAATGCTACTAAAAAATTCAACCCAGCTACAGTGACTTATGCACCTATCAAGCCTATTTGGCACTCAGAGCTTGAAATAAACAATGAATGCTACCTTCAGTGAAACTAGAGGTTAGCCACCAAGCTAACTTCCACCCTGGAAATGTGTGATTCTTTGCACGTATCAGTCTTTGGAGTACCTCTGCCTCTGAGAAAAGTTTGTCTAACAAAAACCGTGGTTTGCACTTACTCATCTCAACACATGCATGCAACATTATGAAGTGAATTAAGGTAGTTGTTTTCCTTGCACTTTCTAAATGTAAACCAACAGGAGAACAGTTTTATTTTACACCAGTTGGACTTGGAACAGAAACCAGAACGAGTCAATTTGTCATTCCTAAAGGACCTTGTTAGCATGTTTTGCCTTCACAAGAGAATGTTGGGCGAATGCTAATAAGGCTGTCTGACATAAAATGTTGCAGCTTAACTAAAGCAGGGGGATAATTGTGTTGCAGCAGCTATTGCCTTTGGAGGACCATGGCAAAATTAGCCCAGCCATTCCCTCAGTGGTCTTAACATATATCAATGTGTCTGTGTGTATTTGCAATATTAACCAATTTTATCTGTTCGTCATTTCTAATCCTATCCTTCTCATTCTTTTCAACTATAATTTGCTTCTTTCCTCCCCTGCAACTGTTTGATTTCCTCTCTTTAAACCTACCATCTCATCCATCTCCCTACCACTCCTTTCCTCCATCATTTCCCTCCTGTCTTTACCATCTGTCACTGTCTTTATCCCCACTTCCACCCTCTACCACCAGGTCTTTATTGCACAAACTGTGCTGTCCGGAAGTCACGTCCAGGTCAAATACCTACTGCTATGGATACGCTTCGCCACCTGGAACCAGATCCTGGATCCGTGGGTATACATCCTGTTTCGCAGATCAGTTCTTCAGAGAATCTACCCCCGTCTCAACTGGTCTCGGGGCTCCATCATGACCTTGTATCCATCTTTCAGCGACACCGTCCGCAGGTTCACACGCTCTTCTCTTGGGAGCACCCTGGGCTCAGATGAAACAGGAGAGACTGGGAAATCTAATGTACCAGCCATATCTACATCAAACTCAGCACCTCCTTCTCCATGATTGGTTGGATTTGAGTTGTTGTTGCAGTAGACATCATTGAGGTTACAGTATGTGTTGAATGTGTTTTCAAGCTCTTATGAGTTTTTAGGGTAAGCAAGATTGCACCAATAATTTGAAAAGATTGAATCTTGTTATTTCATTGTGTACCACTAAAATATTTAGCAGTATTAATAGCAATGACACTTTAATTTAGAACAAAGTATAAAGAAAGAGCAGGGGCTGATTGGATACTTACAAAGTATCAAACCTGTAACGACTAGAGCTCTGTTGTCTGCTAAAGCAGCAATCGAATGCACTGCTTTTTCTACACGTACTGCTCCATGATGCTTTTATGATTGGTGTTGCATTGGATAGAGGCACACTGGGGTGCTTTAGCAATTGTTTTAATGTAATACTTCATTCTGGCAGGACCCTTTGGTCAAATGCTCTTGGTGTCACATGAGACCCAGTACTGTTCATGTATTGTTCCCTTCCTAAAAGTATTCACATACCTTGAACTGTTGATCACCAGCGCATCTAACGCTGCAACCTGGCTGATCCTAATCTTGTAGAGGTGTGTAAAAGCAAAGACGCTTTGACTAAAATTAAATATTGCTTCGACGCCAGAGGCATCCTATACACTTTCCATTTTTAGAGTTTATACAATTACATTATGCATGTATTTTCGATCTGTTAAATGTTTTTATAGTGCATGTGCATCAATCCAAACTTTCCAGACCTTGACTTCAGAATCCATGAATCATCTGGTCCAGTCCACATGCTTGGAAAGGAGGATGTTGGAGGTTTCCAGAAGAAAACATTTAAAATAAAAAGAAATAATGTGATTATTGCAACAAATTAATTTGTGAATGTGGACACGGACCCTGAAAATAAGTCTGGCCTTCCAGCAAGTAGTGTTTTTCACTGTCAACTTCAGAAATGTGATGAAAAATGTAACAATATTCCTTTCAGATGTATTTTGCTGCATGAAAGGTCATAGTATTTATATAAATAATAAATCATACGTGACATTAGCTATTCATTACTTGAGAAGGTGTAATTGTTGTCAAATGTTGTTGTCAGATTTAAGTTGCCTATCCTCGACAGTGTTATATAATTCTATCATATTTTTATAGTTATATATTACTTGATAAGTAATGTACCACTTTACTGATTACTCACTGTGTCACTGGTGTGTTTTGCCTCTCTTGATTTAAAACTCTAAAACTCTCCTGTCTTAAACAAATCAATTCAAAAATAAATATTTTCTTAACTTCCACTAGTGTCTAGCCATAGAGATAGTTTTGGTTTTAATTGCACAGGTTTTGAGATATCAACCTCTGTGATTTATTCTGATTGGAGGAGAAAGGAAATAATTTGTGCTGCTTAAAACATTCAACAGAAATATGTCTTAAAGTGAGAAAACATGTTAAGTAAGTGCTGAAGGTTAAGTGTAAGTATAAGTGAGGGTAAGTCGGAAAATATTATGTAATTTGGCTGAACTGACCTTTTTAAAACAGGCTTACTCAATTGTCACTTGTCTTTGAATAAGAAAACCAAATCTGGGGAAATTGGATAGTATTAAAGTCCAATATTTCCAGAAAGTATAATTTTCTTATCTAAACTAGTATATGTGTGAGCCTACCTCAGTTTTAGATTTGGAGAATATTATGTAAACATTTCTTAGACCCAAAGTTGCTCAGGGGGTAAAAAATAAAACAGCGCAGAATCATTTATGGGCCTCAGTCCAGTAAAATTCATTTTTTTCATCGAGCAGCTCTGCCTCTCAGAGATGTTTAACTGAGAAGGTGTCAACTGTGAAGGTGTTGGTATTAACAATGAAGAGGGAGTGGGTGATGATTTAGTTGTTGGATAATTCTGTCTGATCATTTGGGCAGTGTAATAATACACACTGTGGCTAAACTGTAATAGAGAATTATGATATTATGATCCAATAATTTATATAATGAAACTGAAACAGCCATTCATTTCTGTTCTTGAGAGCTGCTCACCCAGCCGATCTTGCACATAATTTTCATTATATTATTACTAATATCAGTCGGTCAGAATCTCACTCAATTACCAAAGAAATCACTTAACTGATGATGGGATGGATAATGTGTCTTGCTTTAACTAGACCACTTCAGTGTTATTCAACTGAAAATGAAGTGTAAATGTTGAATTGTGCTTGACTGAAATGGCATGTGATTGTACATAAATAAAAGATTTGGTTTAAAAAAGAAAAGTTTTTTTTTCTTTAACACACACACAAGCTTGACAACTATGATCACAATCTTTTTACTTACAATTTAAACATGTGATTATGTGCCATACATTTTCAGGTCTTCATCAAGAGCTGCAATCATATACAAAGTTGTAAAACAAAAACATCACTATCAGACAAATACTGATGTAGCTGAAAGAGTGTAGCCAGAATGAGTGAAGTCAAATCAAACTACATTTTGAAATTTGGCAGGTCAGTGTTTACTTGCTTACATGTATAAAAAGTGACTTTATACATTGTTCACATTGTTCGGGTGAGCCAGAAAACATATAACTGTCAAAATCCAACATATAGTATGATGTTTTATTTTCTTTTTACAGTAAATACTCTCCAATGCAGAGACAGAAAGAGAACGCAGCACATTGAAACTAAGAACAGGGATACTGAAGATACTGATCCAGTATATTTACAATCTGTCTTTGAAACAAACCAAAACTGTTTCCTTTGAACTTGTGGCAAAAAAAGTGGGAAGCAAATGAATATGTTACACAGTGTTATTTTAACTGTTATTAGTGCATGATCATGAAGATCTCTCTTCATTATTTCAAGGCAAAATATCTGCAGGGAACTTTTTTATTTATTTATTGTGGGAAGTTATGGGCTTGGATCCTTTTGACAGTAACCACCATGTGGGAAAATGTGATTTGCAGCTGGAACCTTGTTGTTCCCAGATGATTCCATTTTTATGACAATTTTGATTAATGTCCTAAAAACATTTTTTTTTAGTTAAGTCACATCAGTCACTTACTTGGAGTACTAACAATATTTAACTTGAAATTTATTTTTTGAAGTTCTATTTGCACTGGGGCCCTTTGGTTATTTTGAAAAAGGTAAACCAGTACAAACATTTTATAATTTATAAAACATCCACGTAAATCTTTAACTTTTATAGGGTATTGGTAATGGAGAAGCCGGCTAATACATTCTGACTCTGGGATGACCCAAAAGTGTTTCCTTGTTCCTGTTTTTCCTGGCGGGACTTCATCAGAGGAAAAGGGTCTTGCTTATCTAATTTCCTTGATTCCTAGTTGACTAGCTCATTGTCCACTGTTACGCAGTTTCCTGACCCAGTGCTTACATTAAAAAATGGTGTATATGTATAGGGATAGATACACCCTAAAGATTCATTTCAATCTTTGATTTCAATGCAAATGTATTTAAAGGCTATTTTCTGTGTTTTGTGTTTATTGTAAAGATTTAAGATCAAGAGTGATGACCTGCTCATGGGGAAATTAACTAACCAAGTAATTGCACTCCCTGTCACATTTTAACCTGTTAAAACCCACCTATTCAGTTCTATTCTATACAGGTGTGGTTGGGTTAGGAGCAGAGTTATCTGGATCTTAAGAGGTTAAATGGATTGTTAAAAATAATTAGGACTGGGAAGGCATCATTTAAAACGTTTGCACATTATTTTTTCTCAGAGAACAGAGGCCTCTCTCTCTCTCTCTCTCTCTCTCTCTCTCTCTCTCTCTCTCTCTCTCTCTATCTATCTATCTATCCATCTATCTATCTATCTATCTATCTATCTATCTATCTATCTATCTATCTATCTATCTATCTATCTATCTATCTATCTATCTATCTATCTATCTTCTCTCATGTATATAGCAAATATCTAAATTCTACCATTCTTGACGTCTCCAATAGCTCCCCATACATCAAACAAAAACACATCAGGGAAAGCAAAATCTCCCAGAACTGAGTCCAAGGCTTCTGCAAAGTCGTCTGGGTTCTTCTTGTCTTTGCCTGCTTCCACTATGGTGGTTGCTGCAGAAAAGAAGTGATGGGAGAGATTTGAACCAATCCAGGGTTAACTGTTAATAACTACTGCCAAAGTTTTCTTTCTCAGCAGCCGAGGCCAAAACAACAGGCACTATGCATTCATAGAGGACCTACTCTAGTCTTTTGCCTCATAAAATTGGGCATTTACATGACAAAACGAGACAAAAACCTAGTTTACTGTTATTCAGAAATATCTCCTTTTAAGGTGTTAATTGTAAAGGGTAGCCTTTTCACAAGATACCAACAAAAATGGAAAAACATACAGATGCAAGTAAATATGTGAAACAGAGTTATTTTAACATTGTTTATTTTAATTTTTCTTAAGAAACACCCGCGCTGCAAATTCTGTTTAATTTGACAGAAGCATATGATGACAAATTTCCCTTGAATGGGTCTGGGGATTTGGATTTAACCACGCTGATGTCAAGTTACACAGCCATTAATATACTGTGGGATACACTGAGACAACCAAACACATTCTTATGGAATAAATTACAAGCAAACAGCAAAGGTAAGAGCAGATTAAGAAATCATCAACCTATTTTAAATAAGGTCTGAACAGGCAAATGACCATTTGGAAATCAGGCCATTGCCCTTGGAAGTCTGGGAAAGGGCAAATTCATATCACTGACAATGTTAAGTATGTGTCCCACTCAAATTCCTGATGTATCCAAGGACCTTCGGCATAAACTACTTTTCTTTTAAATTTTTCAGTTGTTGATATATTCAGTAGGAATGAATGCAAATAGCCCACAAATGTTTTCAATTACTTTGTATTTCTGGTTACAATACTGTTGAAGACCAAGAGGTTGTAGTAAATTTACCATGAGTTATATTTGTCTGTCAAATTCATTATTGCAGATTATTCTCTTGGGGTTGTCTCAAAAATGCAGCAACTCACCAAAATAGGTACACATACAAAAAACTAAACTACAGTACATTAAAAAACACTCCCAACAGCCCCTGGAGGCACACATCATCAACATAGATGATTTGGGGTGAGTATTTGAGAAGGAATTTATTTTCCCATACTCCATCCCAGGGTTAAAGTTGGGTCTCTATCCCAGCATGCAGCACCAAGGACAGTTTGCTAGTCTATTACAGCCCACAGTAAACACTGACGCCTAGGTTTGTGTGTGAACATCCATTCAGCAATGGCTCGCTTCCTTACTTCTAAACGTGGCTATAAGATTGATGTCTATTTTAAGGACAGAAGTGTTATGTGGGTGGTCTTACCCAGCTCCAGATCTCTGATGCCCATGTAGCTCTCCAGCAGGTCATCCACTTTCTTTGTGGCCTGTTCTTCAAACTCATTCTGCTGGCAGAGCACACAGGAAAATACAGAGGTGTTAGTGGAAATTTTGTGGTGGTCATGCTCTAAATATGGTGATATAAACTCTGTGAGAGCATATCTTCTCCCGCCGAGGGCTATTGTTTATCACTTATCTTTATGTTATATAAATATATCAAAGTGTATAGGTGATAAAATTGAGTATTGCTGGTAGGCCTTAACTGATAACTGCTTGCAGTGAATCTTTTCAACCTCCAAACTTTCTACAAGGATGTGGTCTGAGTTCATAGTTCAATGTCATGTGAAACATCCTGCATTGAAGTATAGGAAGTAAGAATAACTTGTGTGCAGAGGTCGCTTCCGACTAAGCTGAGAGACATTGTTCAATAAGGAATAACGGATATTGTGTGACTGTGCGTCTGCTTGCTAGTTTACATGTGACCGGAGTCAGATGGGGGTGTTCAGTTCAGTTCAGTTCATTTCATCAAAAAAACTGAAATCATTTTCAATACATGATAAAAACAATCTAATCAACTGTAAACAAAATCTCAATTAACTCTGTGGTGTTTTTGTTTGTCTGTGCATATATGTGTATACATGTCGCAATCTGAGTACATAAGGAAATGAAACAGTCATTGTCCAGCAGAGCGTGTGAAACTCACCACTTCCTGAACTGTTGCAGCACCCTTGGAACGAAGACGCAGAGTCTCCCTCCCGTTCACCATCTTTCCCTCATTAGATTTTGGCGCTCTGGTCCTCATTCCAATCATGTCTGACCACACGAACACAAACAGGATAATAACAATTCATCAAATTAAAGAGACAAGAGGTTTTTTTTTTTAATTGGTTGTGATATGCTGTTTTTACACAGTGCTGTTGGTCCCAGTGGTCACCTGTGTTCCTGTTCAACCATTGTGGCTCTCATTGCTGACTACCATGGTTTTATTCAATCATTTCCCAAGAAACTGCAGTGTGACCAGAAACCAAAACTGTAGCCGAATGGTTACAGCTCATACAGCATGGCCACCGCAACCTCGCCGTTTAGATTCCAGCCAGCAACCTTTGTTACAAGTCTTACCCGTCTCTTTTCCCTCTTTCCTGTCTGCCTCTGCCTCTGCTGTCCAATAAAGGCAAAAAATGCCAAATAATAATATTGGCTACAGTTAAACAAATACTTTTTTTTATAAATAAACATAAAAAAGCAACCCCAATTTACATTCCCTTGTTCTGATGTGTACTTCTTTTTTTTTTTTACAAACTCTTCAACTATTTATAACTGTACAGACTACCTATGAACACCCCACTACTGCTGCTAGTTCTAAAACATGAAATAATATTATGTCATTTTTTAAGAAGTATGTTGCCTGTGAAGATGTTGGGATGTGAAGGAAGAGTTCTGTAATAGAGTGAATGTGACCCATGGATTTCCAATCACTTAGTTTGTGTTAACAGTAAAGTTGCTGACTGTGAATCAGCTGCTCACATCTGCAGGAAAATATTACCACATTATCATGCCCCTTGTAGATCCCCCCGGGGCCTATATGTAAATGCACATCTGTATTCAGTATTGTCACAGATTCCAAAAGGGGAATTAAACTCTTTCCTGTGTCAGAGGTCAGCATCAGCTATGTCATTAATGTACTTACATATACATAATGCTTGTGACTGATTCTCAGGGAGCAACTGCTGTTTTTCCTTCTGCGAGTTATTTCATGTGAACTGACATGATATATATACAGTCTTTGACCAGATCATCTCAATATTTGTAGAAAAGTGACATTAGACCTAATTCTCACACATGCTGGTCATTGGAGCTGGAGTTTGTATGAGCCACTTGTACACCTGTATTTTTAATTGGGACTTACGGTAGTTGCTGACTGAATTGCTGCACCCTCAGTTAAAAACACTGTTTTTCAACATGTGCATATGCAGAATGTACAATTGCAACTGCATATCAATTGTTAAAGTGAATGACAATAAGGTTGTGTCTTGAATTATGAATGCAAATTACTCTCACTCTGTGCACCACCATACTATTCTCTTTGGTTGACATTTAGGGCCATAATGAAGTCCCCGCTCTGTTACATTCAGGATTGTAATTAGTGTTATAAATCATTTTACACGTGAAATCTAATTCAAAGATTTAATTTAAATCCAAGAAAATTATGATTGGCAGGTTTATATAGCGAAATAAGGGGATATCTTTCTGCTCTACTGCTACTCATGTTTAACTGTAGACAAAGCTACTGCATTTACCTCAAATGATATCACTTCCAAAACCAGGTTGTGGTTTAATAATGCACTCGTTTTTTTAGCTGGACTAGCTTTTAGTTGAACTTGACTAAATGTATGGTTGAATTTGAACATCTACAGTTCTGTGACAACTGAGCAAACACAGTCTGTGGATATAAAGTGAAAGGAGTGTGTAATTGGACCTTAAGATGTTGCTGTTTCTCAGTACAATAAGATGATACTGATTGTTAACAGGAGGTCAGTCAGTAGACCATGGATATAGTTTCCTGTCTGATAAGTGAGGTTGTGGAGGGCTGGGCTCCAATCTGCTTTATCCATTTAGAAAAGGAAACTTCCTTATTTCCTCTCCAGGTTCTAAACAAGATGAAATAAATAACCACGTATTGTACTCTTCATAGGTGAAACATTTATTGGAAGGGAAAAGAGAGCAGGACATCATGGTGAAAGAGACTATCCTGAAAAAACGTTGAAAACATGAAAGGTTTCTGTTTGGAAGAGCAAATGATCATCAACAAGAGGCTTGAGATTAAATACATTTCTCAGATCATAACTAATATTTCTCTAAACACATGTAAATACAAATGTCCGTGTCAGTGACTTGATTTTGAGCAGGTCACTGTTACTCAATGAATTTGTTCAACTATTTTTATTCCTGGCAGATAAAAGGCTGAAATGTAAATAAAAGTGCCTTCCAGGTTCTCTAGCAACAGGGAATGTACAACAAGTACATTTGGATCAAATATTTAGAGTTTCTTTTGGCTCTGACTGCTGTGTGACTGCAAAGCTTATGAAAAATGTACGTACCATGCGCTCTCTCGCTCTCTTTCTCTGTTAGTGTTTTCATCACATTGGACTAAACAGTGTTCACACTGTCACATTGTGGGGACTTCTTTCCCATGTGCGCATGAAAGTTCAGTCCACATAAGGTTGACTGTTTATTTTTGGGATTTGGTTTTGCTGTTAAAGGTTAAATGTTGGGGTTAGGAATGTAGCAGTTGTGGTTGAGGTTAGGGGTAAGCCTCCACGGGGAACGAATGGTCTCACAAGTACAGTAGTAGTATAAGTGTGTGTGTGTATGTGTGTGTGTGTGTGTGTGTGTGTGTGTGTGTGTGTGTGTGTGCGTGTGTGTTCTTGCTTGTGGAGGGTGCTTCCAGGTTGTTTCTGTATTCCTTTAAAAGGTTTGCTTCATTCATCCTGCATGTCTTATGGCTAGAGTTGAATAATAAACTAAAAACAAACCTTAAAATATTAAAATGTATGGCTGTGTCCACTTTTCTGAAGAGCCTTGGTTTCTCCTGTGGATGCAATGGGATTAAAAATCCCTCAAAGCCATTTTAATTTGGTCTGTACATGACTGAGAATGAAAACGTATCAAGTAACTGTAGTAACTCAATTTAAAGAGTCAATTTCCAAAGTGCTGCATATTGATTTTGTTTAGACAAAACCCATTACAAGAGTAATTTCTCTGTATCGCAGAGTCAATCTATAAACAAGAACTGAATTAACTTGCAACTATTCATTTTGTTTCTGTGTAGCAAACACTTTTTCGAAGTATAGATATCTTGTTTGATAGTTTATTTGATTATTAAAATAAAAACTTTACAAAGCCAAAGAGTGTACAAGATCCTTCAGACTGAGGCTCTGCCATGATACTGGTCAATTAGTTGTTGATGCTGAGTTTAACAACTTTTCCAGGCTCATTGGCATATAGCCCAAAAAAATGTCCCTGTGTCCTCTTCCTGTTTTGCTGATTAGAAAGTAGTGGGAATGCTGGAGTCTGTCAACCACTGGGGACAGCAAGAATCTGCTGCTGGCAATATATAATCAATGTTAAACGGCACTGTTATAAATCACAGCCAAGACATACTTTTGCCTCCTATCTGTGCTGAGAGCTTATGATAGTAGTTTGTTGTTTTTTCCTGTCCCTTATTCATGTGTTTTTTCTTCCTGGTTCTCAGTACCAGGAGCCTGCTGGTTTTCTTTCTATCATTTAATTTAAGAAGTGGATTTATACAACAACATTTTTTGTCCAAATCCGTGCAAAGACTACAAAGCATTACTGCTATCAGTGCACAAACCCAGCAGTGGCTTGCTCCAGATGTAGAAATGTGCTACAAGATAAACCCCAGCTGTGAATAATATATTTGCCTTCAACCACCGTTTTTGGTATGTTTAGAACTTAAGAACTAGAATCTTCATCTGTTCTGCACATGACAGTGAAGCACAGTCATCGAGAAATATTTTCCACTCACCAAAAGCCTTCTTGGGCCCCACCAGGCGGAGAGTGAAGGGTATGCCTCTCGGTTGCTCTTTTAGCATCTTAGCCACCTCGTAGTGTCGACACCCTACAATGCTCTGGTCATTGATGGCCTCGATGTGGTCACCAACGCATACTGTCTTCAGCCGGTCTATGGTGCTGCCTTCCTTTATCCTCTGGAAGATATAAATATGAAATTGTCACATGTGAGTAGATGCTTTTTAGGAAACAGAAAAATCTAACAAAAATATTCACTCAGTGTTTCTTTAATTTAGGGATTCTTTTGCAGGTGTCAAGCAACAACAGAAACTTTAGTTTACTGTCTTCAACTTGTTTAAATTTACTGTCTTTCAGCCTGTTTAAGTTTATTGTCTTTCAGCCTGTTTAAGTTTACCGTCCTTCAGCCTGTTTAAGTTTACTGTCTTTCAGCCTGTTTAAGTTTACTGTCCTTTAGTCTTGTTCACCTTGATGAAAGCATATCCAGCTCCATTGTCTGTGATAGTCAGGCCCAATGCATCTTCTGTCTTTGTCACCTCCACCTCCTTGGTCTCTCCTCTGACGTGAGCAAAGATGAAGTCTTCCAGTCCAATCTGCCCGCCCAGTAGCTTCTGCATGTCCACTTTATGAGAGTTGAGGGTGCAGAACAGGATCTGAGGGAAAGAAATAGAAATAGTGAAACATGCAATATAAAGTAATCCAATGCAACGACACCACAATTCAAAAATGATAATGAAAGTTAAATCAACAGCACTCTCAATAAAGATTTAACATTATGAGTTTTGTAATATTTATTATTTGGATATCAAATGATGTCCACCCTCTGTGGTAAACAAGTTAAGAATCAATTAGGTTTTGTTTTTGGTGGTGATACTGTATGAATTTTCTTGTAAAACAGTTTAGAAAAATATTTATTTAATTTGAATTTTAACTTTAACTTTGTTGCAACATATGTCTAAATAAAGATAAAGCATTTTTGTTGTACAAAAAAATAAAACACCAATTAAAACATATTTTATTGTCTCTAAAAAGATCACGTGTCAGCTAAAAATCTGAATAAAATGTGATACAGAAGGCAAGTTTTTAGTAATAATGTACAATTTAAAGGCCTCAAAGAGGAAAAACATTTACCAATCAACAATACAAACAGTATTTTTATGTGATACCAAATTAAAAGTCTGATTGAAAAATTACATTTATTGTTAAATTGGAAATTTGCTTCAACTTTCTTCAAAATTTGCTTTTGGTGAAAACTTGGATGTAATTGTTATAAACATTGATTGATCATACAAAGAAACTTACTTTTTATAAAACAAATGAAATTTCCTTGTAATTTACGAGGCATGTGATTATAGTTTCTGTGGCATTCCCTGGTGTTTCATTTTCCTACTCCTGTTATATTACATCATTTCAAAGCAAGTTCCTCCAATTGTGCTGTATAGAGATTAAACAGCAGAGGGCAGTAGAGTCAAATTATTTGATTTTGCTATTGTGGCCATTTTGTCATGAGCCATGCATGCGTTAACTCATAGAGAGCCACATATATATATATATATATATATATATATATATATATATATAAATATTTAAAAATGCACCCAGACAACTTGATTAGACATTTGTTTTAGGAGTCATGCTTGTTTTCAAAGGTTAGTGGTTGAATTAAGAGTGTGTCATGAAACAATATTAAGTGGATAATGGTAAATCTACACTTGGGAAGAAGAACTTTTCAGCCATGTATTGGAGCAAAGAACATTTGCAAATTTTATATGAACACGTGACTCTCTCATAAAATCTCTTCAAACTCTAGGCTACACTTTTTTATCCTAATTTATTTATTTATAGTTTATAACTATAATTGTCTTTGTTTTTAAAATAGCTTTTGTTTTTGCCAAATCTGCCCATATCTTCTGAAACCTGAAGTTAAAGTTTAACTTTCACTTCCATAATGTAATTCAAGATAACCTGTGAACTGTTATCTCACTTGAATTACTTCCTGTTAGATATTGCTTAGAGTAATTCTCCTGGCAAAGGAAATATATTGACTGCAGTTCAAGGTCTTCTTTGGCATCAAGCTGTACTGTAACTTTATGCTGCCACAGAAGGTCAAGGAAACTGCTGTTCTCCTCACTATCACTACCCTATTGCCTGATATTTCCCATAGAAAGTTTTGTAACTAGAAATCTGACTGCAGTTCAAGGTTGTGTAGATATACAGGTTGTTAAATCAAATAATAATTAAATAATATCTGATTTTGGAACAAAACAGCACAGAATTAGAGACCAGAAAAACCCAAGGAAACCCTCCGGTTGTTTATAGTTCTAGTCTTTGTATTAGTCTTCATATGAGCTAAAAAGTAACACACAAACTTAAAAGGCTCAAAGTCTGAGATTTATAATTATTATTTATTGTTATGTATTTCTTGCAATGTAAGGAGCCAACCCTTGCATTGTTTACTATTAATAGTAATCTATCCGACCGTTATCTAAACTGCTTATTCTTCTCAGGATCACTGGAGATTATCCCAGCACAGGCTGGGCAACGTATGCCCTGGACAGCTGAGCCAAGCTACCACATGGCTAACATACATGAGAAGACAAACACATTAACAGGAATTTCTAGTTTCTAATGGAGGGAGGAGTTTCTAATTCAAATGGACAAAAGCTCCTGAGAGTTACATACACAGGACACACAAACTCCACATAAGACCACACACAGCTAGCAGACAGGACATCCTTGCTGTGTGTAAGTAGACAGAACCCTAACCCTAACCAACCATGCTGCCCTGTTGTAATCTAACAATATCAAGTACTACCTCTGTTGCACTCATTATAAGTGATTCTGGATTGTAAGATAAATGTTTTCGTTGAAAGCGTCATATTAAAAGATGAAAAAAAGTGATCGGTCAGGAGTGTAAGTGTACTCATTATTGTAGTGTAATAACCTCTGTTGGCAGCAGTGTTCCAAATAGGGGGGGAGCAGGGAGCTCAACTCCCCAGAAAGAGTCATGAGGTCCCTAGAAAGCCTCAATTGAGAAATGTATGGGTGCTCTAAAATATTGTAATTTTTGGTTCTCCTTTTTTTTGTTCTGTATAAATTTATACTTTGTTGTATTTAGAGTATATGTTGGAAAAGTTATCTTAGTTTTTTCATAAGGAAACATAACATTGGAGGCTGTGGGAATGTTCATAATTGTCATGGGAATCAACGTAGTCCTGCTCTGTTTAATAAAGTAACACAACCATAGCCTGTCCATGGAGCGTTGGCATTTTATTGTTTTGCAGTGGAGAGCAATTTAAAAAGACATTGTAGCCGTGAAGCAATTTTCTGTTTCTTTGTTGTCACAGAATAAATATTCTCTGTGTGAATTTACATTAATTGATTGTATATATTTCATGCCAGGTTCATGCATGTGAAACTGTGCAGTACCCTCCCACCCCTCTACCCATAAAAAAATATGGCTCCCCCGAAAGCCACGGTGTAATTCGAACACTGGTTGGCAGTTTCTTTCTAAAATAGACATTCAGCATTTAGGAATTGAATCTTATGTTACATAAAGAAACAGGCCAACAGATTTTACACAATCATGACTAGTAGTTACCTGATAAGATCATCAAGGTTAGTTCCAATGAAATGTACATAGGTGTATATCCCTTCATCTCCACTAGTTTATGTCCAACAGGCATTGATAGGAGAAGCCTTCATGGTGGCCTTCATAATGCTAGTGATAAGTATTAGATAAGTCCAATGTCGAATATTTATTGTTCTGTTGATGATCATGTGTTACCATAATATACCAGAGAAAGCTGAAAAACAGCAGAATACATGCCGACCATCCTTATAAAAAATGTTATAGAGGTTAAACTCTTTTCACAGTTTATCTTTGTAGTGTAATATTGAACTGCACAAACAATAAAGAGCATTTTTAACAATCATCAAAGAAATACTGTTATTCTAGTTGTGAATATACGCTCAATGATTTTATTCACCTCAGTTTAGTTCAGTGAACCAATTTCTGCAGACAAGATGTGCACAAGCACAAGACAGAAAATCGGTTGCCTACACCTAAAGCCCTGCCACAGACTCAACTCAACCATCAATATACTCCTACACATTCATTTGAATCTACTTTTAGTTGCTCTTGATAAATGTCATATAAATGCTTTTCTGAAATAGAAAAGCAAGTGTAGCCATTGCGAGCAGTCTTTCTGTGACACCTGCATGGGAATTAGGGTTAGAGAGACTGTGGACTTTGGTTGTGCTGGTGGTGTGGTTGAGTGTTGAGAGCAGTATCAGGCTGCCAAGTGGTTTGGCTTGCCCTGACCTACTAAAGGTTTAGTGACTAGACCTATTTTCAAGGATTCTGGCTTTGCGAGTAGCTGCCTTCTGTAAATTGACTTCAAACCACACTTTTAACCACCCACTATTAAAAGAAATAAGGTCTAGCTAGGTTGAGCTTGTTAGATGATGTTCACAAATAATTCCATGGCCTGCAGTTATATATCACCTTTTGTATACATGTGAAAAAAAATACATGCAGGTGTCTAATGTGTGAATTTGTTAATAAATAAATAAATAAATAAAAAGGCCTATATGGATGCAATTGTACAACTGCAGGCTGTGTGAAATGACCCTCATTTGCTTCCATTTTCAGCTACACTTGACACAGCATTTGAGTAAATATTGAAGGGTTTTTTAAAATGGGAACACAAAAAGGTCCGCTCACTAGTACTAGTCAGACTATGAAAACTGTTTCCAATAAATTAGTACAGTAATTGTAAATCTGAATATGTAAGGTAATTCTCTGTAATTGTTAAAACAGGTTGAAATCTTGAGGATTTTTGCACCAGTTTACAGTAACTAAGCACCTACCCTCTGTTATTTTACCCTACTTTGTTATTTACCTTCCAAAGCAAACTTCCCATCACCTGGTCTTGTTTTGCTCAAATGTCTCTTCTGTTAATGTAACTTGTTGTTATTTGTACTGACTACATAACATTATCTGGTTATTGGTTTCCATTATTGATCCTGGTCAAGGCCCAGACGAGTACAAAGTATGGCAGACAGTAGTGACGCCAAATGATCTTGTGTAGTGCATCATGGAAAAAAGCCTAGAATAGAAACCTAACACCCATTTGCAGCTGGCCTGTCAGACCACAAATGCAAGAAAGGAATAATACCATTTTTAAAAATCGTTTTTAAATCATTTTCCACAAAGCTGGAAATGTAACTAATTCTCATAATAATGTTTACATTCTGTGTTTGTTTTGTACCTCTGAGGGGGAGATGTGGAACACTTCAGCAATCTTGGCGTACAGCTCCTTCACGTTGGTGAATCCATGGATGCGGCCTGTGGGACTCCCGTGAGCCAGCTGGGTGTGGAAGATGAGCCTAGGTCTTGGGTATTCTGGTGGCCCTGATGGTGGTGGTGAAGGAGGAGGAAGCGGAGGCGCTGTGGGCTCCATACACCCTTGATTCTGGCTCTGGTTCTGGGCCTTCTGCTCCTCCATGGCCTCAGCCCCTGCTGCCTTGGAGTCCTGCGGGCTCATAGCCTCCCCGTTCTGCATCGGGCCCCAGCTCAGGTATGGTCCACTTCTGAGAGGCCTGTTGATGCGCTGCTCTGGCAAAGAGAGAAACTCTGTCCTTCCCCCCGCTTAGCCGACCAACCACCCAACCAACCAGCAACTCAGAGCTTTGGGGTAAAGAGCGCAGATGAATTAGTGATGAGAGTAGCCTTGTAACAGTAGCTGGAAGAGGCCAGCCAGACCCTGCTGGGTAGAAACCCAACACCCTTTGAGTTGGGGATTGTATGTGTTACACCTGAGCCTCTGGCAGCTCACGCATAGAGAACACAAACAAAACACATAAGGTAAAGGCTTCTTCATCTACACACACATGACTAAGACTCTAATCCCCCATATCAGTCTGGCTGCAAGACATGTTGCACACACGACTGAATGTATGAACATCCCTCTGAAGTGTGAAAATGCATAGCTGTAAAATGATTTCCAAAGTGGGACAGTCATAAGATGGCCACAGACAATGTGCCAGTGTTACAGGTAAGATGATATCATTGGGTAGGGAGTAAAGTGCCCCCCATCCCCCCCTTCGCTGCCCTCATTGAATGAAATTGGCTGTTGCTGGGGTGAATCCTTGGTGATGCACTGACCTTTCTGACCTCACAGACAGCCCACAGATACAGAAGATGACATAAAGAGATGTTTAATTCACGTAGGTATTTAGTCCTTCTTATACTGGCAAAGTATTGAAATGTCAGTTTCCTACCTTAGTGTACCCAAATGTGTATACACATAACAGAAAAACCCTTAAAATAATCATAAATAATACAAGATATTTTATTAATGAACTTCTAGAACGGATGATATGCAATAAATTGTGTATCTTCCTGGTATCTATAAGAACAAGAAGATACAAAATGCCTAATGAAACAATTCCTTGTGACAAATAATGGAAAAAGTGCTGTGGTACTGTATAATGTATGATGAGACAAACATTTTTTTCTATATCCTGTATGTGAGAAAGATACAGACAAGAGACATAGATAGCCTGGTAAGGGGATTTCCACTCATCGACCAACCCGAAACTTTAACGGGTGACTTGAGGAACCAATCGATGACACAAAAATGTTTGGCTAACAGTCTGTTTTTCTTGTAAAAAGTGGGTAAACACCCAGACGCTGAAAAGCCATAATTTGATCATGTTTGTCCCACCATGATGATGCGTTGGCCATAACAATTTTATTTGTCGCACTATGTCCCATGTGATCCGTTACTCATGTGCAAATCAGGGAAGCTTTCATGTGAGGACACAAAGAGCTATCTATCTCTCTCTCTCTGTGGATCTGGAAATTCCACAGAAATCACATTTTAAAATGCCAGCTGGGAATGTGTCACCAGCATTGTGATCCCATTATTATTCCCTTCAGACAAAGATTCTTTCCAGTACAGGTATGTATGTTATGTACTTAAACCAATGTCCATGTCCAACATTTCTGAGGTTGAATTTAATTAAATTCTTTCCCATTTGTCACATTGCCAATGCATGCTGCCATAATGTAATGCTTTATTGATATCTATACTGTGTTTATATATAATATTAAGCCAAAATAAATAAATAATTAAACTCCATCTTTGTACAGTAGGGGTACAGCCTGTGATGTACTGTTTTATCCTGCTGCATAAGCATTCCTACACACCTGTGCTGTAATGTGCATGGCTGCAGCTGTCTGTGCGTCATAGCCTCGGTTTTCCAGGCCAAGGTATTGCTAGCCTCCCAAGGTCAGTGTTTACTCCTGCAGCTGATAATGAGGATCTCTCTGGTAACAGATAATAGGCAGTCCTCTAAGCGAAAAACATCCTACTTTCTCTTCCTGAAGAGACCTATGTGATAACCTCTACATTTTTTAAAGCAAACAGATGTCTGATAACATCAATCAGAGATAACACACTGGCTGAAAAGGAGAGGACCTTTGTTTAATGTAAGTATTTTCCAAAGTGGCTGTTGCCCACTTCGGAAGGACATCATCCCACCAAGATCTTAACATTAAGGTCTTCATTGTTCACCAGCGCATAAAGGGACAAAAGTGGATTTAGCTCACAGCTGTCTCTGAAGGGTACGAGCCCTGTTTTTTTTTTCTGAAATAGTTGAAATTGTATTTGTTTACAATGTTACACCAATACTTTTCAACAGGTATACCGTTCTTTTTATATAATTTGCAGCTACTGATTCAGTGAGACTGAAGGCAGAGGCTTTGCTTGCAAATTTTGTAGATAACTGAAAGACAGAGTCTAATCTTCAGGGATTCATTATGTAAAAAATACATTTTATTTTAACAGATCGGCAACTTTACATGCAAACATTATGCCAGATTCATAACAGCAACAGTCTGTCAAACTGCCTGACTCTGCGGTGATTAGAGAAGTACAAAAGGAAATAATAAGAGCCAATAAATGAAAGCTAAAATAAGTTGTTTGCCAAAGCATATTTTAAATATGCCCTTCTTATGTGACTCTAAGCTCATTGGCTCTGAGCAGGTGGTGTGTTTTTTCTCACAATAATGTTGAAGTCATTTACAAATATTGACTAGATCAAGATGCAGTTATTCAGGCTTCATGACTCAGACTGTTAATATTAGCTGAATGTGTGGTCTTATAAGTCTGGTGTGTATCAAATGGCAGACATGGAATATAATATTCGTAGATATGTTTTTCATTAATGTATAATCACTTGGAAATAAGAATAAATGTGTTTTCGTTACCTAAGAATGAGTTGATTCTACAGAGACCACCATCTTGAACTGCCATGCTTCTACAGTAGTCCAGACAAACCAAACACTGGTTCTAGATAAGGTTTTTGCGAGCTTTTCAGCCCCTGTAGTTTGTATAAGACTTTAAAGACCTAAAAGCATTCACTGTGATGAATACACGTTTATTTCATTCTGTCTTTTTATTTCTTTTTAGTTTAGTTCAGTTTTTACATTTGGAAATACACTTTTGATTAAGCAGTTATGGTCTACTACACAGAATGGGATTTTCATGTTAATTTCCCATCTCACAGACACATAGTGCCTCTCTACATGACAGGGCCTCAAGGTCATGCTACCGGTCATGGTTGATGTTCCCAAACATATCTGGAATTAATTAAACAACAAACATACTGTGATTGTGGGTGGTTCTTGTGTAGTTCCTCACGTTGCCCAATTACTGAACCAACTGTCACGCTGATGAATCAACACAGAAAATCCTACACTGCATCAGCACCCCCTCGTTACATCACATACTTCCTTATGAAGTGTGATTTCCTTCTCACTTTCTGCTTTGTTTCCTGGCAGAGGAGACGGACGGGAAGGCCGGGGGCTGGCTGGTGTAGGCCAGATTGTGTGAGGGTGGTGTGTTTGCTGTGTCATGCGGCAGCACACTGCCTCTTCTGTTCCTGGTGGCGTGGCGATGCCTGAGCTGCCTGGTGAGGGAAAAAAAAGAGGCTTTCAGTGCTAAGGTTTGTGTATAACGGGTATCTGACAATGATTGGTTTCTCTTTTTTTATGTGTTCAAGGTCTCTATCAATAGCGTTGTGAAATACCCATGAGAAAGCTGTGTTGTAATCAGGGTGAACTGTGTTTTAACGGTTATTCACGGATTTGTCATGATGTGATGACGTATAAATGATGTCAAATTTTGAGACAATTATTATAACTGACTAATATAGTCACTTTCACTAACAATGCCAGTCCTAAAATGTCAGTTTTAAAACATGAATATTCAAAGTACGAATCTTCAATCTTCATCTGAATTTCAGCCAAAAAAAATATCGAAACATCTTTCTGTACCAGCAATGCCATGATCTATGTTATGTACTTTTTATTGGGTTCAGGGTTGTCTACAGAAAACCCTCACAAAACTTGCTCATGGACACCTCAAAAAATTGCTCTAACGTAAAAATATTGTCTCAATACACCACCCTTCTGAAACACATTCAGTTTTTTAAACACTTAAGGTAGTCACAAGTAACACACGCAGTCATCCAATGTGATTACAATGTGACTTATTAAACTTTAGCCTTATGGCCTTGTGTGTGTGACTCTGCCATTTGTTGTTGCAGTTGTTGCCGTTTTCTCCAGTACGGGGGGAGGTGAGAGACTTGGCCCTTCATTAGCTGCATGCACAGTGCTGGGATAAAATGAAGTGATTCATGCCCTGGCAGTAGAATAAAAGCCACGAACTGAGCAATTGACTAGCCTTCTGATTCACTGGCCTCCACTTCCCTTCATAAGAACAGGCTCATTTGTTTTCTGGCTCTTTATGATTTATGGGATTAAAGTAATTTCACTTTTATTTAACTTAGTGGGTTCTGTCAGCTTTTGTAGTTCATCAAACCAAAATACGTTGGCAGCAACTGCCCTTTTTAAATGAAAATTGTTATTTATTGTTATTTAAAAGCTTTAATGTAACATTTATTTATCAAGTATACAGGTTTTACTATGTTATGCTATGTTACAATTAGTACTATTATGTTATAACATTATATTTGGGAAATAGGTTTACCTTCACATTCAGCTTTCTGTTTATGGTCTGTAAAGCTGTCTGTTAACAGTACTGCCCCACCCAGCTGTAGGGCCTACAAGAACTGTCCATTTAAGATTAAGTGTAGTGTGATGTGGCACTGTGGCAGCACAATGTGTATTCCCCATGTTTTTCACACGTGAAATGCTAATTCCACATGTTAATTATTGACATAAAGGACTACACTGGCACAACAAAAACACAGGCAGTATGCCTTTCATACATCTCAAGAAAGGGACTGCCCGGATACCATATAAGGTAATGGGCGGTCTGCGCAGGCCAACTACCCCCGTTCTGATTGGTGGATCGGTCTGACATGACCGTTTTTTCCCAAGTTGTCGCAGACGCTGATTGGTCGGTTGACTTGGTCCGATTTAAGCTCATTATCTTAATCAGCCGTAGATGAAGTGAGAAGGAGAGAGAGAGAAAAAAAAAGCAGAAGCCAAACAGGAACGGCGGAGTTTGGCGTGGAGCGTCGTTTCTACACGAACCGACGACCACTGGCTGAGGGAAGAATGCTTGAAAACAAGAGGGAGA